ACATCAAGAATATCATACAGGGAGAAAGCAAAAGGTCATTAAGAAGACAAGAAAGAAAGAAAACACCAAAAAGTATTTCAGAAGAGACTTTGAAACTTGCTCTTGAGCTTCAGAAGCAAATGGAAGAAATGAGGAGACAAAAAAGCTGAACAGAAAATTTCAGACGAGGTTGAAAGAGACAAAGTCAACAAGTATCATAGCGAAATGTGAAAAGATCTGGAGATGGAAAAGCAAAAGGTAAAAACATGCTCAGCATTTCTCAAGCTAAAGACTGAAGAACAAATTCAAACCTCACCTTGTAATATGGAAGGATTCTATAGGAAAAATATTGAAAAAATGCAGAAAGTATCAAAGGCAGATGGCAGGAATACACAGAGTCATGTTACTGAAAAAAAAAAAGGTCAATATTCAACCATTTCAAGTAGTAGAATATGATCCAGACACAATGGCACTGAAAGAAACAATTCAATATGTACTGATAGCATTGGCAAAGAACAAGTTTCCATCAATTGATGGAATGCTAATTGAAAATTTTCAACAAACTGATGCAGCACTGGAGGCACTCACTCATCTATACCAAGAAATTTGGCCAACGGATTGGAAGAGATCCATATTTGTGCCCATTCAGAAGACAGGTGACCCAACAAAAAGAGGAAATCATCAGACAGTATCATTAATACCACATGCAAGTAAAACTTTGCTTACGTTAATTAAAAAACAGCTCCAACAGCACATTGGCAGGGAACTGCCAAAGTGTCAAGCTTGAATGAGGAATATCATTGTGACATCAGATGGATCATGGCTGAAAGCAGAAATTACCAGAAAGAGGTTTACTTTGCTTTATTTATTACACAAAAGTTTTCAGTTGTGGATTATGACAAGCCATGCGCAACATTGAGGAAAATATGTATTCTAGAACATTTAATTGTGTTTATAAGGAAGCTGTATGTAGATCAAGAGGCAGTCATTCAAACAGAAAAAGGGGACACTGAATGGTTTACAATCAGGAAAGGTGTGTGTCAGGGTTGTATTCTTAATCAATCTGTATACTGAATAAATAATCTGAGAAAACTGGATTATATGAAGATGAATGTGGCATAAGGACTCTAGGAAGATTCATTAACAACCTGTGATATGAATATCATAACACTTTGCTTGCTGAAAGCAAAGAGAATTTAAAATACTTACTGATGAAAAATTAAAGACAACAATCTTCAGTATGGGTTGCACCTCAGTGTAAAGACAACAAAAACCTTCACCACTGGACAAATAAATAGTATCATGATAAATGGAGAAAAGATTTAAGTTGTCACAGACTTCATTTTGCTTGGAACCACTATTAACACTCATGGAAACAAGCAGCAGTCAAGAAATGAAAGGATGTACAAAACCTTTTATAATATTCAAGCACAAAGATGTCAGTTTGAGGACTAAGATGTGCCTGACCCAAGCCATGGTATTTTCAATATGTGTCAAAGTTGGATAGTGAGTCATGAAGACCATAGAAGAACTGATGCATTTGAGTTATGATGTTGGAGAAGAATATTTAAAGTACTATGGACTACCAGAGAAACAAACAAATCTGTGTTGAAAGAAGTACAGTGATAACGCTCCTTAGAAGCCATGATCGTGAGATTCGTCTCTCAGACTTTGGACATATTATCAGCAGTGGCAGTCCCTGGAGAAGGACATTTGTTGTTTTGTTGTTGTTAAGTGCCATCTAGTTGGTTCGGACTCATAGCAACTCTGTATAGGATTTCCGAGGAGTGAATGATGAGTTTGAACTACAAACCTTGTGATTCAAACCGACTTTGTGGCCAAGTGCTTATCCTACAGCACCAGACCAGGACTCAATGCTTGGTAAAGTGGAAGTTCAACAAAAAAAAAGGAAGACTCCTGATGAGATGGACTGGTGCAGTGGCAGCAGCAAAGGCCTCAAGTGTGACGATTGTGAGGTTGGCACAAGACCAGGCAGTGTTTTGTTCTGTTGTGCTTATAAGGTCACCATGAACGGGAGCCATTCAAGGGCACCTAAGAACAGTAGAACTTTTATCAAAACTCCTCCTATCTACTTAATCATTTACCTTGAACTACATTTGCTTCACTCAGTTCCTTTTTCCTTCTCAGATTATCATCTTTCTTGTCCTTTCAACAATACCTCTACTGTTTTTAGGTCCATCTCTTACCCTTTTCTAGTATCTTTCTGTCCCTTTAAACTTTTTTCTTATGTGGTTATCTTCCATGTCTTTCATATTAATCATATTGTCTCAATATTTTAAAAATAACTTTTCTCTTTCATTTCAGTTTCCTATATCCTCTGTCCATCAAGTTCCCCTTCTTGTGTCTTTATGTATACTTTTGTTACCTTGACACTCCAAAGTGGTAACTTCCTTGTATAGCTTTTCCACTAGATAATTTTTTTCTCTGTCCCTGTACAGCCTCCAGATTTACTGTGCCCACATATCACTTGATATATGCTTCCTTGTCTTCCTGTTTCTACATTTTTTCTACATCATCCCACTCTGCTAACCATGGGCTTCTAATCTTTTGTATTAGAAGACATACTGTCTTAGTGATCTTTTACAATATTGTGGTTTTAGATGTTATTTTTAATGATAATTATGATATCTACATTTTCAGAGTAAACCTTTCTACTGAACTTCAACTGATAATTTGACACTTCAGCCTGGATGTTTAATAGTCATCTCAACTTTGACATGTGCAAGAATGAACTTTCAGACTTCAATCCCAAATCTGCTACTCTTGTCATTTTTATAATATCAGTAAATGTTAACTCCATTTTTCCTGTTACTTAGAATAACAGCTTAGTAACCATCCTTGATTATATTCTTTCTCTTACACCCCATAAATTCTTCAGGACATCCTCTTGCCTATACCTTCAAAATACATCCAAATTGAACTATTTCTTTCCAACTTCATACTGCCATCTTGGTCCAAGCCACAATCATCTTTTCCTAAATGGCTTCACTGCTTCCTTTCTTGTCCCTCTAGTCTTACTACAGAAGCCAGAGTGTTTTGTCATTGCTGTTAGGTGCTGCCAAGTCAGTTCCTACTCATAACAACCCTATGCACTATAGAACAAAACACTGTTCCGTTGTGTGTCTTCCTCACAATTGTGATGATTGAGCCCATTGTGGCTGTCACTATATCAATACATTTCATTGTGGATTTTCCTCTTTCTTGTTGATTCTCCACTTTTTCAAGTATGATGTCCTTCTAGACAACATGATCAAAGCATAAGAGATGAAATATCACCATCTTTGTTTTCTAAGAAGCATTCTGGCTGTACTCCTTCCAAGATAGATTTGTTTGTTCTAGTAGTCCATGGTACTTTCACTATCCTTCACCAACACCATAATTCAAATGCATCAATTCTTCTACAGTCTTCCTTATTCATTGTCCAACTCTCACATGCACATGAGGCAATTGAAAATACCATGGCTTGACTTCTTAATAAAATGTTAAGTCAGATGCTATCACTCATATTTTCAAGACCCTTCAATGAATGCATATCTTATTTGGTAGGAAAGATAAAATCTTATAATATCCTACATGATCATACATGTTCTGACTCATTATGTCTCTGATATCACCGTCTAATAGCCTTCTCACTGTACTTCCCCCTCACAGGCCCTATAGACCCTTATGAGCATGTTCAGCCCAGTATCTTCTCTCCAGCTCTCACACCGCCTTCAAGTTTTTATACCAGTGCTACCTCCTCATTAATGTCTTTTTGGTTAACTATATAAAATTGTAAACTTTTCCACTCCCAGCAATTATTACTCCCATTTCTTACTTTATTTTTATATTTTGTACCTCATCCTTTAATAGTACATATATTTATTCAGTTATCTTACTAAATCTCTCTGAGAATGTAAAATCAAGGGTTTTGTTACATTCCTTGCTGAATGCTTGGGGTCCAGTAAAATACCTATTTCCAGTGAGCAGTCAGTAAGTGCTTGATAAATTAATACATAAATTTTCTATCTTTTACTTCATACCTTCTTCTCACCTATTATGGTGGTGGTGGTGGTGGTGGTGTGCTGTGGAGTCAGTTCCAACTTGTAGTGATCCTATATAAGGTTTACTAGGATGTAAATCTTTATGGGAGCAGAAAGCCTCATCTTTCTCCTATGGAACAGCTGGTAGTCTCGAACTGCTGACCTTGAGGATAGCAGCCCGATTCGTAACCACTACGATATCAGAACTCCCTCTCACCTATTATATAGCTCATGCTTATCCTCCATCTGTTGTTTCAATTCCATCTTTGATGTCATTTGTTCTATCTGATTTCCTATTGTCAAATTCTGTACCAATTATGTCCATTTTCTTATGCCATTTATTTGGCTTCTTTTCCCACTTCTTGTAAGACTTGGGTCATTTCCAGTGTCACCTTGCTTTTCACTGTTTTGTTGTTCCCTTTCTCAGCAGCTACTATAGATTAAGTGGGTTTAGTTCTCATCTTTACTCAGAATAACTTACAACTTCCTTTTCTCTAATTCTCAAACCAACATAAGATGTTATTTGCTGTGTATAAGAAAACAGCTGTGGACGTTAGCCATAAGTTACATAACCTAATACTACGAGGAAACAAGTAGAAATAGAGTCCTGAGAAACAAGGAAGGAAGAGGTTAGACCAGGATAGTCAGTTTTTTCGTTCCTGGGATATTTTGTTCTTTGGATATTCCACTTCTGAGGAGCCTTAAATCATCCACTTAACACTACTGTGGGAATTGTGCCAACTATTAAAAAGAAATTTACATTTAAATTAGAGTAAACCACTATTTATAGACTATTGTGATTATTCCAAGAGTAGATATGGTTTAGCAGTATTTAGGAGCATATTTATCCAACTTCCTCAATATCTAAACTTATCATTTATATTTTTGGTATTATAGATCATGTTTAGAAAACTTTGAGTGGTATAATCCACAAATGACTGGTGAGTAGGATGACATACTATAGAGATGTGTGGTTACCTGGTAATGAATGTCCTCTCATTGATGAAGATCCAAGAAGAGGACTGGTGAGCCATCATAGTTTTCTTCCTCTCCTTTTTGAGATCATCTGAAGATGCCCTACAACAGAATAATATTGGTGATTTGTTCCTGTGATGCGTCAATAAATCAGCTCTGACTTAAATTGGTAATTTTGCTGTATCTGTGTTATGTAACCAGCACTCATCTGTCAGTTTGCCATACTGTGATAGTTTGTATGTTACTGTGATGCTGAAAGCTACAACACCGATATTTTAAATACCAGCAGGTTCACCCATGGTAGACAGGTTTCCGCTGAGCTTCCAGACTAAGACTCAGTAGGAAGGAGAAGTAGACTAATTTTTTGTTGCTGTTGTTAAATTCTGTCAAGTTTGAATTAACCACTGAAAACCTTATGAATAGTAGTATAATGCTGTCAGATTCCATTAGAATATTGGTTATTGAAATATAATGAAGGCACCAGAACATTGTCAGATATAGTGCCGGATGATGAGCTCCTCAGGTTGGAAGGTACTTAAAATTTGACTGGGGAAGAGCTATCTAATCAAAGTAGAGATGACTGTGATGGGAATGGAGTAAAGCTGCTGGAACCTTCATTTTCTGATGGGGCATAATTCAAAATGAGGATAAACAGCTATAAGCATCCACTAGTAGTCAGAATGCAAACTGTACAAAGAATGAATCTAGGAAAATTTAAAGTTGTCACAAATGAAATGGAATGCATAAAGATCAATATTGTAGGCTTTAATGAGCTGAAAAGCAAAGGTATTTGCCACATTGTATCTGACAATCACATGGATTACTATGCCAGGAATGACAAATTGAAAAAGAACGGCATCACATTCATCATCAAAAAGAAAATTTCAAAATCTATCATGAAGTTTAATGCTATCTGTGAAAGGATAATATCCATATGCCTATAAAGATGACCAATGAATACCAGTATTACTCAAATTTATGCATCTACCACTAAAGCCAGTGATGAAGAAATAGAAGAATTTTAACAACATCTTCAGTCTGAAATTGATCAGACATGCAATCAAGATATATTTCTAATCATTACTGATTGGAATATAAAAGTTTGAAACAGAGAGGAAGGTTCAGTACTTGGAAAATGTGGCCTTGGTGATAGAAAAGATGCTGGCGGTAGCATGATAGAATTTTATAAGATCAATGTCTTTTTTCCACCACTCAGCTGTCAGTTTGTCATACTGTGGTGGCTTGTATGATGCTGTGATTCTGGAAGCTATGCCACTGCTTTTTAAAATATCAGCAGGATCATGCATGGTGGCCAGGTTTCAGTTGAGTTTCCAGACTAAGACAGATGAGGAAGAAGGAAAAACAGACTATTTCTGAATACTTAATCACTTAAAAACTGTCAGATAACACCAGAATATTGAATACTGAAACATGATAAAGAGTGCCAATATATTGTCAGATATAGTGCCAGATGATGAGCTTCGCAGGTTTGAAGACACTCAAAATATGACTGGGGACGAGATGCCTCCTAAAAGTAGAGACGACCATGACAACACAAATGTAGTAAAGCTTTCAGGACCTTCATTTGCTGATAGAGTACAACTGAAAATGAAGAGATACATTGTAAACATCCATTAAAAATCAGAACATGGAATATATAAAATAGGAGTCTAGGATAATTGGAAGTTATAAAAAATGAAATGGAATTCATAAACATCGATATCCTAAGCATTAGCAATCTGAAATGGACTTGTATTGGCCAGTTTGAATCTGATCATCACACGGTTTACTATGCCAGGAATGACAAATTGAAAAGATGTGGTGTCATATTCATCATCAAAAAGAACATTTCGAGTTCAATCTTGAAGTACAATGCTGATTGTGACAGGATGCTATTCATATGCCTACAAGGAAGACAAATTACTACAACTATTATTCAAATTATGCACCAACCATAAAGCCAATGATGATGAAATTGAAGAATTCTATCAATTTCTTCAGTCTGAAATTGATCAAATATGCAATCAAGATGTATTAATAATTACTGGAGATTAGGATGCAAAGGTTGGAAACAAAGAGGAAGGATCATTTATTAGAAAATATGGCCTTGATGATAAAAACAATGCTGGAGATTGCATGATAGGAATTTGAAACACCAATGACTTCTTCATTGCAAACGCTTTTTAAAAATAACATATAAGACAACTATATACATGGACCTCATCACATGGAAGGCATAGAAATCAGATTGACTACAGCATCTGATGAGTCAAAACAAGGCCAGGGGCAGACTGTGGAACAGACCATCAATTCCTCATATGCAAGTTCAGGCTGAAACCTAAGAAAACTAAACCAAGTCCATGAGACCCAAAATATGACCTTGAATATATCTCACCTGAATTAAAAGTTCATCTGAAGAACAGATTTGATTTATTAGACACCAATGAACAAAGGTCATAAGAGTTGTGGGATGGCATCAAGAATATCATACATCTGTAAAGAGAGATGAGAAATATGGCATATAAGGAGAGAAATATTGATGGTTAAGAAATATGAGGGAACTTCAAAAACTTCATGGAAAGATTCTAGTATTTTTAAATTCCATTTTCCATGAACTTTTAAATACCCTTATGTATACCTTGACATATAATTTTCTCCTTGAGAATCAGCTTGGCAGATTGGCAATTGTGGGATAGACAAATGGATATAGAGATACAGATAGATGAAAATAGAGAGGGGGTGGGGACAGTATTTTTAATAAAGTACACTACATACCACAGTGCTGGCACATAATAAATGTTAATAAAAAGAAATCCGGGATCAAAGTTGTGCTGATAGCCAATTTATGGTTGACAGCTGTGTTAGCTAAGTTCCTGGTGAGAGTGTATGTGATATGTCTGAATTTGAAAATAACATCTGTTGTAATGAACCTCATTTCTGAATCTTTTAGTATTTGATTTGGAATACAGTCTGAGGATTCTTTCAGTTGTCAATTTCATCCACAGTTCTGATGTCACCAAGTTTTAGTAATTTCAATGTTATATTCCATGTCTCCATAAATGCACAAATGTGTTTGGGGTGTTTGCAGCTGCTATTTCCTGGTACAGGATTGATTTTTACTGAAAAACATTAAAGTTAAAAGAGAAACCATGTAAAATTCTGCCTGGTTGGAATGACATATCTGAGGTCTTGATTTTATATTTTATAGTAGAATTTAGAGAAATTTATGGGGGGGGGACCCCCAATGTGTTGATGCTATTATATTTTATAATAAAATTTCCAGATACGTTTTTTAAAAAGTCAGTTTTAAACTTTTGTTTAATTTGCAATTCAGTGTTACTTTTCCCAAGAGGATACTAGATTTTCAAAGGATGTTAGGATCAGCAACAAGAAAAACAAAGCACTTTGCAATCATAGAAATTTTTTGGCAACATGGAAATACAACACAGTTAAGTACAGAAAAAAAATCTAGGACATTGTTTGGAGGTATGCAGAAAGAGGAAAAAAATGTATTATGTAAATTGAAAAACTATAGGCAAAGAAGTATTGGCCAATATGGCAAGTCTATTTTGTAGTACTTCAACAGTGATTTATCTTTTTTTAGGATTTTGTGCAATGGGAAAGTATTCCTTCTATTGTAGCAACTCAACACAAATGGGCTGAATCTTACTCCAGTCAGACAAACATAATTTCAAGTTTCAGGGGAACTAAAATCAAATCCTAATGTGGTGTTAAAGGATAAGTACTGGACTATTAATCACAAGGTTATAGTTTAAACCCACCAGGCACTCATGAGAAACCCTATACAGGGTTGCTGTAAGTCAGAATCAACTCAACGGCACTTAATAAAAACAAAATCAAGTTCTAACTTGAATAACAGATTACATGTTGAGGTCATATTTTTTAAGTTCCTTCAGGCTCTGGAAACTGCAGTCAGACATGAATAACCTCTTCCTTTATGTTTTCATGGAAGCAACCTCAGGATGTGATAAGAGATTTAAAATATAATATTTTCTAGTCATTCAATTTTACAGAAATTTAATAAGATAATTCTAAAATGGCCCTGCACATATACAAAACCAACAGCCTACATTACTTTCAATGGAAAGAAACAGAAAGCCTTCCCTCTGCGAACAGGAACCAGACAAGGATGCCCTTTGTTACCACTCCTATTCAATATTGTGCTGGAAGTCTTAGCAAGAGCTATACGGCAAGACAGGGAAATTAAAGGCACCCAAATTGGCAAAGAGGAAGTAAAACTCTCTTTATTTGCAGATGATATGATCCGATACATAGAAAACCCCAAAAGACTCAGTAAAAAAGCTACTAGACCTCATTAGAAGATTCAGCAAAGTGGCAGGGTATAAGATCAACATACAAAAATCAGTTGGATTCCTCTATAGTAACAATGACAGCGCTGAAAAGGACATTAGGAAAGCAGTACCATTTACAATAGCTGCCAAAAGGATGAAATGTCTAGGAATAAATGTAACCAGAGAAACAAACGACCTATACAAAGAAAACTAAAAAACACTACTACAAGAAACCAAAAATGATTTACAAAAATGAAAGAATATACCATACTCCTGGATCGGAAGACTTAACATTGTGAAAATGTCAATACTGCCCAAAGCAATATACATCTATAATGCAATCTCAATCCAGATTCCATCTTCAAAGAGATGGAAAAAACAATTACAAACTTTATATGGAAAGGAAAGAGACCCAAAATAAGCAAAGTACTGCTCAAGAAGAAGAATAAAGTTGGAAGTCTCTCACTCCCTGCTTTCAAATTTTACTACACAGCTACAGTGGTCAAAACAGCTTGGTACAATGAAAGTTGCATAGATCAATGGAACAGAATCGAGAATCCAGAAATTAACCCATCCACATGCAGCCAACTGATTTTCTACAAAGGACCTAAGAATTTTGCATGGGAGGAGATGGTCTCTTCAACAGATGGTGCTGGCAGAAGTGGAAAGCAATATGCAAAAGATTGAAACAAGACCTTTACCTCATGCTATGTACATGGATTAAAGACCTAAATGTGAATCCCAGAATTATAAAGGTCATCAGTGAAAATGAGGGACAAATGTGAGGGC